TAGAACACTATTATTTCTTTTTGAGGATGGAGTCTCGCTATGTCGCCCAGGCTTGAGTGCAGTGGGCGCAAATCTTGGGCTAACGGTGCAAACCTTGCCGGCCCTCGCCCAGCTTCAAGCGACTCTCTCCCTGCCTCAGCGGCCACCTGGAGTGGTGGCTGTGGGAGAATTACAGGCAGTGTTGCCACCATGCTGCTGGGTAATTTTTGTGTTTTTAGTGGAGACGATGAGGTTTTCCACCATGTTTGGCAAGGCTGGTCTCAAACTCCTGACCTCAGTTGATCCGCCTGCCTTGGCCTCCCAAAGTGCTGGGATTACAGGCGTGAGTCGCCACACCCGGCCGACAGTAGAACATTATACCCAAATAAGATAATAATATATATATTTGTTGGTTTTGAGAGATGTGTCTGGTATGTGACTTTTTGCCTTTAGAGATGGGGTCTCAGCGTGTCCCCAGGCTGGAGGGCTGGAGTGCCATGGCAAGGTCAGAGGATCCTCACTCACTGCAGCCTTGAACTCCAGGCTCAATCCTTCTCCTACCTCAGCCTCCCTAAATGCTGGGGTTACAGGTGTGAGCCGATGCACCCGGCCTGATCTTTTTTAACTCTATTGACATTATGATATACTGAAATGAAAAAAAAAGATTATAGAATTTCTTAGTATGTTTAATTTTTGTTTAAAATGCATTCCAATCTATATGCATAGAAAAGTCTGGAAGGATGTATGTCAACTATCAAACGCTTATACCTGGTGATGGGATTATCAGTAATTTTTACATCATTCTTCATACTTTCAGGATTATTTCAAGTTTTTACAAAGAGTACATCTTATGATGAAAAAGAAGTATGTCCATTTTCGGGGGAGAAAGGAGAAGAGGGAAAATATTTGTAAGCAGTTACAAGAATGAAGGCCCTTCTCTAATTAAGGGTTTCCAGAGAAGGCCACCATGGAGTCTAAAACTGTGAATACCCATTTCAAACTACTGCACATTAACTCACCTCTCCCTTTTTATTTCATTTGCTTGTCTTAGGCCATGTTTTATGGATGAGTATGAGAAGACTGAGGAAGAATTACAAAAGCAGTATGACATTTATCTGGAGAAATTTCAAAATCTTACTTACCTGGAGCAGCAGCTTGAAGAGCATCATAGGATGGAGCAAGAAAGGTTTGAGGTGAGCTGAGCCTGTCCTCTGTTCAGCCATTCCTTCTGGTGTGTTATTTTGTACTGGGTAACAGGTCATTTTGTTAATATTATTGTAAAAAAAATATCAGTACATGTTTTTTCTCCCTGGTCAGTCTGAGGATTGCTCATGTCATGCATTTGTTTTGCTGGCAGTGTACCCTGGACTTCAGGGTTGTCAAATCTTTGATGTCATATTTCATCAGGTTTAGTCAGTTGAGAGTACAGACAGGGCCGACGTGAGGCCTATGCGGCTGCATAAGACCCTGTGCCGACATGGGGCCTGTGCTTGCTTTCAGGCCCTGTTGTCAATGTCTGGAAATTCATAATAATTTTTTTTTTTTTTTTTTGAGAAGAGCGGAAGTCTCACTCTGTCGCCGCCAGGCTGGAGTGCAGTGCGGCCAGTCCCACAGCCTCACTGCAAGCTCCGCCTCCGGGTTACCCATTCTCGCTTCTCAGCCTCCCGAGTAGCTGGACTAGTAAGGCACCGCCGCCCTCACCCAGCCTAGTTCTTTTTTTTTCTTTTTTTTTGAGACGGAGCTCTCGCTCTGCCACCCGCAGCTTGGAGTTGCAGTGGCCAATCTCGCCTCACTGCAAGTTACTCCGCCGTCACCGGGTTGCGCCATCTTCCCTGCCCCAGCCTCCGAGTGGCTGGACTACAGGCCGCCCGGCCACCTTCCCCGCCTAGTTTTTTTT